ATGAACTGAAATGTCAATGCCGACTCTCTCTGGCCACACCAACATAGTATCCAATGCCGCTCCTGATGATTGGCACCCGGTGCCCAGCCTACACTACTCAGCCTATCTAGCCTATCTACGTTCATGCAACAGGATCACGTCGAAGTTGAAGACCAATGTACGTGACGTCATCACCAATGCAGACTGCCAGCATACACCAGGTATGTGTCTCACTCCTCCCCTCATCATCCCTGACTCCCCTCTGTGTGCGCCTCCTACCTGAAGACCACCATCGCCATCACCATGCATGGTTCCAGCAGCCCAGCTATGGATGCCGTGCGCCCGCTGCCACCGCAACGGCCCCTCTCACCTCCAGCGCCCGTGCGCGCCCTGACCAGTAGCGTAGTGCAGCTGCTCGTGCCGCAATGCAGCAGCATGGCCGCATTGCCTGCACAGGCCAGAATGATCTCTGGCTGGAGTGCTCACTTTCCTTTATGGAAAGTGAACCCTGCTTGCTGTGCCTTGGGCCTGGCTGGGCGAGTTTCCAGTAGCTTCTAGTTGGGCCCCAGTATCTGCGCCCTGGCCCAGTTCAGATACTAGCCTGGGGCCCATGCAGTTAGGCATGTCCAGGGAGCCCACGAGGCTCCAAGTGTTCGGCGCAACCCCATTGGCTCGTGGCCTGTGTGTGAGGAAGGAGCTGCTTTCTCATTGGTCCGAGGCCCCTACGTGACTTGTCGGCCTCTGAATGCCTGTGCCCAGGGCCTCAACCGAATGAGCCCTGGGTACGACGCAGCTGCTGCATCTGGAAGGAGCCAGGAAAGGCTCATGTTGCTCAGTAACCAACTGGCGTGCTGCAACTGTCTGATACCCCACATACGAAAAACGGCAAAAATAGGTCTCACGCAGGGTAGTCACGCCTACGGTAGGCGGCCCCAGACCCGTCGGCTGCCGACCAGCCGACGGTAGGCGCCGTCGGCGCCGACCGGTCGGCGATCGGTAGGCACCTCCCAAAAAAAAAAAAAATTTGGTCCAGAACCCGAAATAACCCCATCCACACCCCCATA